TATATATATATAAGTTTAATTATTGTGAACATTTTTCTTAATTAAATTTTTACATATAAAAATTTTAATAAAGATAAAGTTATACTAATAAAGATAAAAGCAGAGTTTAAGAAAAATCTTAGAATTCCACGAAATCTTATATTACGTTATTCTTTTTAAAAATAGTTTCACATGAACTGTTCGGCAGTAACATTAGGTGGCAGCTTTTCTAAATGTTATTTTGAAATAATGCATTTTTTTCTTTATTTTTCAAAGATTTTTCTGTCTTTTTATTTTAGATAATGGTTTACCAAAATTTATTTTCTATACAATAATGACCAAATATCTTTAGATTTTATTAATTAACACTTTTTCGTAATTCCTTTACTTTCTAGAAATCCATTTTATTTAATGTTCAAAATTGATTTTTTTTTTCTTTTCATTTTGTATTGAAACTTTGCTAAATTATGACGGTAATTTACTTTCCTCTTTTTCTATATTTCTTCTTCGGTTTTATCTATATTTTTCCCCCTTTTTATTTTTGCTTTTCTCTGAAAATATTAAGTAAAATCTTTAATTTTTTTTAAAGGTAAATATTGTTAAAAATCATTTTATACAATATTTCAATTAAAAATTTAATATCTCAATTGAATTTTTAAATCAATATAAAAAATTGATTTTTTAGTTTTTTTTGCCGTGATGAATTTCATCGTATCTTATCTTCTATTTTACAACAACTTTATTATTTTTTAATATATTATTATTACTCATTTTTATAATTATATTTTCAAAATTTTATCGCTTTTAAAGCCTAAAAGGTTCTAAATTATTCATAATTATGAAACTTAGAAGGATTACTAGTAAATTTAATACGATTAGGTAAAGTGGGTGGAGTATGTAGACAATGAATAAAAGGTAAAAATTCAGTTTTAAAAGATGCTGTCAGCAACACACCTGCTTTCTCATTAGATTACGCAGGTCTAATGCCAGAAATTATCAGCTTGAGAAAAAATTTGAGTAAAATATGATTTATTAATTATTTTAATTAAAAGTATTTTTAGTCTAGATAAAGAATTTCTAAAGAATTTTGAAGCTTTTGTAAGACGTTCTATAGTATCTTACACAAAAAGAAAATTAGTTTTACGTATTACAATGGCACTAAAACTATTCATTCTACCCAGAGTGTAAAGTATCTCGAGTACTATATAGATTAATGTTATGAGAAAATTCAAGAGTAGCTGAATAAAAACGTAAAATATTAGCATTCCGAAAAGTGAAATTGTAAAAACAGTTTTACAACTTTTGAGTAAATTTACTAATTAATATATTTAATTATAAAATCAAAAAATGGGAAGTGATTTAAGAAGACATTTATCAAATGTTCTAACTTATACAGTTACTTCTCTAATTAACCTGATAAATTTAATCACATGTGAAAGTTATTTTAGGATATCAAATTTTATTGCATTAATATTTAATTATTTCATTAATCTTTTACCCATGTCTAAAGTTTTATTTCTTATCAATGGCTTCAGGAACAAATATTTAAGGGGAAAACAAATATTTAATTATTTATAAAGAAAAATTAAATAAAATAAAATTTGATATACTTATAGCCACGTATATATATTCTTTATAGATTTTTAATAATTGATTAATATAAAATTATTTTAAATCTAGGGCATATTTTTGTTTATGTTATAACGTCTTTTTATTGAAAATTTTATTTGCTTTTAAGAAATAACAAAGTTTATCTTTTTATTGAAATGCAAAAGTATATTTGTTTAGTTTACACTATTATTAAAAATAAATAAAAATATGTTTTTGGTAGAATAATAAAAAATATATAGATATAAAATTAGATTTATATTTATTTTAAAAATTCAATTTAAGAAATTTTAACGTTAAAATAAAAAAAAATTTAAAAATATATTTTTTCGTAAAGAAGAAAGATAATGATAATGAAAAAATTATTATTACCTTAAAAATGTAAGAATAAATTACTTTAATTACGCTTTAAGTTTAGGTTTTAATAATAGTGTTAAATAATGGGAAAAATAAAAATAATTAAATATATATTTACGTAAAAGTATAAAGATTTATAACTGTAAAGTTGTGTTTTCAAGTACATTACATTAAATTACGTGATATGTAGCAAAAAATATTCATTAATATTCATCAATTTACTTAGTTTTTTTATAACATACTTCATAAATTAATAATTATATATTTGTTTAGATAAAATAGAAATTTTTAGAAATAAAACAAACTTTAATTACAGCGAATACAGAATAAATATTGTTATAAGAGGCTGAAGCGGAAGAGAATCTAGA